TTATAACTCGAAAACTATGAATCATAGCTATAAAATTATGGTATACAAAACTAAAGCTGACAAAATTTGCTACAAGATTAATATCATTTATTTTTTTGCTATCTCGCATAGTTTTCGAGATATAATCGCGTATATTAACGGCGCTTAAAATTCTCGAATAAAAAAAATGCCTCAAACGTTATACGATAACTAAAGAATTCAAATTTAAAAGTTTAACCTAAAACACTTGGGTGAAACGTGTCTCCTTACTAAGATACACCCTGTTGAAGTTGAAAATAAAAAAATATATTTTCACCACAAACCTTCAAACTATTGGTATTTTTCACTATAAAATCAAATAAAAAATATTAAAGTTGTGGATTGCAAGTATCTTTTACGTAAAATATAGATACTTCAAAGCAAATAAAGTCAAATGTGACAACTGAGGGAAAATATTTATTTTTGATCCTTTCCACTCTTTTCAATGTAAATAAACCGGTCCATTTATTTGTTGGTCTGTGATTTTCACATATTATTTTAAAATAACCAAAATTTCGCCCCTTTAATTTGTTTGCCACTGGCCAAGTATTTCAGGTTAAACCTTCATATTTTGTGCAAAGGATTCTTTAGTTAGCATATAACCAATTATTAATACGACTTGTCTAATCGTCCGATCATCGGATGAATAAAATATATTAATCGTCCGAACATACGGACGACTAATATATATTATTCGTCCGGTAATAACATAACGTTAGTTACGTCATAATTATAATTCGCTTTTGTTCACCGACCGTTTAATATTTGACAACAAGCTAGATAGCTTATATGGTAGGGCGTTCGCTTGTCATGCGAGAGGTCCCGGGTTCGATACTAAGAAGCTGTCGAATTTTTTTAATTTTTTTATTTCATAAATTTGTTGTTTCTTTGTTAAACAGTGTTCGGTTGGGTTGGGTTGGTTGGTTTGTTTTAGTTTTATCGTAACATAAAATCTACTAGAAGTTGTCGAACTTTTTTTATTTCATAAATTTGTTGTTGCTTTGTTAAAAAGTGTTTTATTTTTATCGTAACATAAATTTGCCCATTTTAGTTGGGTTTTTTGTTCAATGGGGCGGGGGGGGGCCAATGGGGCGGGGTCGGTTGGGTTGTGTTGTTGAGTTTGAGTCCGATAATCTTTTTATTATTTATTTATGTTATTACCGGACGATTAATATATTTTAATCGTCCGATCATCGGATGAATAAAATATATTAATCGTCCGGTAATAACATAAATAAATAATAAAAAGATTATCGGACTCAAACTCAACAACACAACCCAACCGAAAAAAATGGAACTCGTATAGATTTATTATTTATTTATGTTATTACCGGACGATTAATATATTTTATTCATCCGATGATCGGACGATTAATATATATTATTCATCCGATGATCGGACGATTAATATATTTTATTCGTCCGATTATACGGACGACTAGCAACGGCCTTTCGACTTGTCTAATCGTCCGATCATCGGATGAATAAAATATATTAATCGTCCGAATATACGGACGACTAGCAACGGCCTTATTAATAAATCACCCTGTATAATATTTTACTATTTTTTTTACAAAATTAGCGAATTTTGATCGAGGGTCTCAAAAACTATGACATAATATTAATATTTTTAATGATTATGAATCATAATTTATGATAAACTTCTACTTATTTGTACGTAGTGGCGCCCCCTGTTAATATTTTAAAAACTAATACTACTTTAGGAGGTATGTTAAAGTATTTACTGTTTTTTCAAAAAAATAATTATTTTCATAAGCAGTGGTAGAAATTTAAAAACATTTGACACTTAAATAAAAAACTAATGCAATAAAAATTAAACTTTAATGAACCCAAAATGAATACACCTAACTGGCGTGTAACGTCCAATTTACAATGAATTGCTTGATTAATATTCAATGCAGCAGTGGTAAAAATAAATTTTAATGAATAATTTACGACTAAAATTACTTAAGATGAGTCACAACGTTTAATTATTTATTCAATAGTGGGTAACAAAATTAAAATCGTGGGCCGTCGAGTTTTTACTAAACTGCTCATCAAAACTAATAATTACATGTTGTTAGATAGGGAAAGCACAAAATTTGGGTCGACATGTCAAATATTAAGATGTAACGTTTTGTTTGAATGTTTTTTAATTAATCCAGACAATAATGAAAGTATAATTGTACTATACATTATTTTAGAGCCAAGTAGTGTCTCAACGCCCAGTCTTATTAACATTTAATAATATTCAATTAAAACTTTTATTATTTCCTATCTATTTTATCATAACTGATCTCGATCAACCACAGTCAAAACAATGGTTTATTATAATTTTAATTCAATTATATCCCGACGATTTTTTCCGTAATGCAGCGCCCATATTTTGAAACACGATCCAACACATTATTTATTCATGTGCATTATACTTAATTTACAACAATGACTTTGAATTATTGCCGTACTTTTTCCAATACAATCAAACTTAAAAGATAACGATTTCCTTTATAAAATTATAATCCTACGTGTCCTTTACAAAACAACAGGTTGATTCAAGGATTTTAAAAAATATAAAACTTTTTCCCCACCAAATTGAATTTTAATTGAATTTAAATTGGCCCAGTTAATCCAGGAGACAAATGTAACAATCAAGCCAGGTTGCGAAAGTAAATAAATCATTGATAATTTGAAATTTTAGATACAAGTTGTAATAGAACTGATATTCATCTACATACAATTAATTTTACTTATATTATAAAAACTGCCCGGCACAACAGTTTTAACTTCGACCCGTTATGCAAACACTGTTATAAATTTAGATTTGTTAACTTGATTTTGTGTTTGTTAATTTTATTTTGTAAAATTTTAACATCATTTTTTGTAGAAAACCAGGGTTCGTAATTATTTTAAGAAAAGAAAGTTTTGTAAAGGTAATATGCAATTTTGAAAGCATTTTTTTAATTTCAAAAGTTACAGATTATTTTGTTAATGTTTAAAAAATTATTTCGTTGAAAAAGTACACTTGATTTCAGACAGTCTTTATAATTTTATGATTTTGGAATTGTGTGTTATTTAATTGTGTGTATGTTCATTTATATAGTAGTAAAAAAAAGAAAATTTTTAGTTTATCATGCTGTAAGAGCCCTGTCAAAATATCAGCTCGATTAAAAATTTTTAGGGGTCGCTCAAGATTTTTAAAAATTTTCAAAATCGTCAAAAATTGACTTTTTGTTTTATTTTTTTTTCTTGTCTCGATATTATTTTTTAGGTTGAAAATAATAAAAATGCTGTAAATTTCAAATAAATATTTGGATTTCTAAAGGTCGCTAAAAGTTCGTTGATATTTATATTCAGAGGTCGTTCGAAAACATTCAAAATACTTTACTTTGAAAATTAAAAAAATCTTGAGCGACCTATAAATCAAAATATCAATTTGAAATTTTCAAAATCATTATTATTTTTAAATTAAAAAATAATATCGGAACGAGAAAAAGAATTAAAATAAAAAAAATCTAATTTTTGACGATTTTGGAAATTTTTAAAAATCTTGAGCGACCCCTAAAAATTTTTTAATGGAGCTGATCTTTTGACAGGGCTCTTAAAACATGACAAAACAATATATTTTCACAAGAGACGAGAAATTTTTTTTTATATTATTATTATTATTATAAGTGTTGTAAAAGCACTGATAATTATATTCTATCAAATTTCTTTATAATTTGATGTTTCAGAATTGTGTGTTATTTAATTGTGTATATGTTGTTCTTGTGTTAATTTTTTTGTTTAGGAAATTGATTAATAAAGCAACATTTCTTATAAAAATTCTTTTCATTTAAGTTCCCAATTTCCAACAAATACTTTTGTTACTGGGTCTACAAAAAGGTTTGTAAAAATATGAAAATTAAAAGAATTATGGTTGAATTATTGACATAGGATTTTGTTATTAAATCTACAAAATGTTTGTTATAGTTACAAACTACTTCATTCAATTAGTTAACATATTACAGTTTGTTGTAAACTTAACATAAAGTTATGGGGGCCTGGATTAACATAAAATCAGGTTAAAATTATCAAATATTTTTTTACTGTGTAAGATAAAGATTAAAAATTATTAAAGGTTTCAAGCTCATGCAAAAATGAACACAAATACCTTTTTAAATAATTGAATTATAATTAATAATAATAATGTCAAAATAATGTCTAAATTTAATTAACCCTAATATAGTATACTATATTAGGGTTAATTAAATTTAGACATTATTTTGACATTTTCTATTTATAGAATTAATTCGTTAGCATGTCATTCATAATTGGCTAAAAACGCTTCTTTCCAATTAATAATTAAAATTAGAATCAAAGTTCAAAGCTTCAAGACCAAGTGCATTGGGAGTGCCACAAGGTGCGTTCTTAATCTGTTCGTCTTTTAATCCAATCAAATGTGTCCCATCAATGGTGGTTTGTCCTTATTTTTATGGGATCGCCAGCTTAGTTATTTAGTTTATGCATACGAAATAAACGAAATACATATCTAGAATAAAGTTAATTAGATTTTGAATACAATAGAAGCTGTTTTCTTTGATGTGCTAAAGTATTTCTCTTGATTCGCATAATTGAGATAGTTGTTGCCTCCATTTGTCACCATCACAATGAAAAACGATTAATTTCATGGCCGTTATTATAATCTATAATAGATTGTAAACTTTATGGTCATAGGAATATGATTTAAATTATATTGTACCTTTTAGTTATAATAACTTACTTACTTATATTATTTTTTTGTATTGTAGAATAAAATGAAACAACGCAGTATTATATTTAACATGTTTTATTAAATAGTATAAAATTTGTATATACGTTTAATAAAAACTAACTTTATAAGGCACTATACAATGGCATAATAATAACATATCGAAGATTCTACACTCCGGTGACTAGATTTCCGTAAAAAATATTTACATAAAATATATTAATTTTCTTAAAATCTAAAATATACACAACGTGGTAGGAGACATTTGTACATAATTTTTTTAGTAGTTCAGTCTTGTCAAAAAGGCACTGTGTGAATTAATGGGAATAAATACTGTTTAACGAAAAAAGGAACCACAAAAGGAATGTTCTCGATGAATTTCAACGTGATAATCAACAGGCATACATTTGCTCGTTTTTCATAAGAATCTGCGAGCTCGTGCAGCCACCCTCGTTGTGTTTCGTCAACAAAGACATTCTGGAGAAGGTTTTGCTACACGAGGTACAAGAGTACTTCTTAACATCCGAGTGGGTCTGGAGATGGGCTCTGAGATTCGACCTGTCAGCGAAGGCTCTGTTGCAGAAGGTGCACGAAAAAGGCTTCTCACCCGTGTGGGTCCTGATGTGTCCTTGCAGCAGCCAAGGCCTCGAGAAGGCTTTCCCGCAGATGGAGCACTTGCAGGGTAAGGTGTGGGTTCGGATGTGCATTTTTAGGGCACCAAGAGAAACGTATACTTTTTCACAAAACTTGCAACTGAATGACTTCTTGGGGCCGTCTCCTGCAGCGCAGTGGAACTGACGGTGCTTCGACAGGCCGGAGAAGGTCGAGTAGCTTTTTCCGCAGTCGGGACACTGGTGTCTGATTCCCTTTAGTCTTTTTTCCGACAGATCTTCTACGTCGGGAGAGGGCGATGTCGTCGATGAGTTCGGGCTTAGTGAATGCTGATCCAAAGATAAGAAGTTTGTGGTCGGCCTGAGGGCCAAAGGTTGAAGAGGTTGTTGCATGTGATGAGGCGGCGATAGGGAGTTATCACTGTAAGGCGAAGTCGGTCCCATGGCGGCGTAATCGTAGTGATGGTGGTAAGGCATGTATGAATAAGGGTGGTACATGGGTGCAACACTTCTGTGCCAATTCGTCGGTGCATATTCCGGGCTTATTGGAGCTGGGTAAGGCAAATGCGCCTCTACTTTTATGGGGGGTTGGTAGAAGTGTTGGGGTGATGGCGAGGATCTTGGGGGAGATCCTGGAGGTGATGTGAGAACGGTGGAAAATGGTGATTGAGGTGCCGACTCTGGAGTTGAGACGGGAGACTCTGATTTAAGGCGACCAAATCTGCTTAAGTCTTCTGGTTTGGTGCTCAAGTTTTCAGGTTCATCTGCAAAGAAAAAATAATAATTTAGTAAACATTTTAACATAATAATTTAAATTTTTTTAAATTATTTTTAGATTATTTTTTTGGTACACACCTGAAATGTCTTCGATGATGGGTACGGGCCTCTTTTTGAGAGGGCAATGAGAGTAGTTCTTGGCCATGTCTTGAATCATAACCGTAGCACACACAAGTGGTAATCCAAGGAAATAAAAAAGTCACAAAAATAAACACAAAGTCTTTCGCACAAGTAACACAAGATCGTTTTAAGGCAAACTAAAACGCAAGAGACCCATGCGCGCTGAACGAGGTTCTAGTGAGCTCTGAATACCGAGAGCAGTGAATACCTGGTTATTAATCTCTCCCTTCCACCTTGCCACGTGCCAACGGACCAATAGCAGCGTAGACGCGACGCCGTCCAATAGAACTGCCACTGGAGGGGAGCCGTAAGCAGGTGGGCTCCTGAATAGTGTACACTAGTAAAAACAGTGTGTCGTTAGGTGCTTTATGCCTGTTAGTGGACCACTATTGAGTGGCAGTTGGCTGGTTTTATTTTCACGTGTCGATTTTCGAATTAGGCCGCCATCGATTTCGCAACATGTTGCGATGCGATGAAAAGAAAATCGACCACTACAAGAGACTTCAACGAATGGCACCACTCAAACTCGATATGAATAAAATCCTTATGATCATTGTTTTAAAAATATCTAATTACTTAAAATATATATTTACCTATTTCTTTATTGACATGTTCCGTAAACTTTTCGGCGATTTTACTTAAAAATAATGGGATATATGAGTACCTTAGATGCAAAACTCGGTTTTTGCAAATTAAAAAATAAAATAAAATTGACTTTAAATTCTGTTTAGTGTTCGTCCTAGATAAATGGCGTTCATAAAACTTGATACATAATAATATTATATTATATATATTATTATGTATCAAGTTTTATAAACGCCATTTATCTAGGACGAACACTAAACAGAATTTAAAGTCAATTTTATTTTATTTTTTAATTTGCAAAAACCGAGTTTTGCATCTAAGGTACTCATATTTGCACATCAGAAGTGGGATATATGATACCTATGTATGGTAACTACAAAAAAACAAAGCTATTTTATTGACATGAGTTAGGTATGAAGACCATAAAACTTACTATTTCTTAAAAAACTAGGACATAATATATTATGTTATGTTGGGTTTAGATATAACATAGAGTGTACTTAAATGTACAGAGTGTTTTAAATGTTTAAACTAAGAAAGTAAACTCAGTACCTTCAAAGGTAATTCCTTCTTTAACAGGAGAACAAACATAAAGAAACTTTACTGGGCCGTCTTAGGCCAAAAACCTATTAATAACAATTGTTAACAAAACAATCTAGGCAAAAACTCTGTCTTCGAAAAGAAAAGACTTGTATATAGGAAATAGTGCAACGGCACGCGCTTAGTAGTGGAACAGCTGTTGCCTTGTTGGGGAAAGCCGTTACGGCTTTGGAAATAAGGAAAAGGGGCGCATTGCTGCCTACGTCCAGATGGGGCGGCAAAAATTTGTGCCCCTGTTGCCTCTCCACCTCACCTGGTCGCGACATGTGCAGATATGTGGCCTATGGGGGGTGACGTACCCAGTCGAATGTGACCATATAGAGCAAAGAGATCCTAAATTAAATTTTTTTAAATAAAATTAATACTTTTTACTAAGTTTAATTTAGAAATACCTAATTAAAATAATAAATTGTAATAATAATAAAATTGTTGAATTTTTGCATATGAGCAAATATAGTTTTTTTGCAATATCCTGAAATCAAGACTAAAGCAAATAAAATGGATATTATTTTCGAAATCTGCGGACTCAAAATACTTTAGAAAACATACTTATACATGTACTTATACTTTGCGCCAATTGGATTTATTTTTTGTATATCAAAAAAATCTACAATTTATGTTTTAAAGTGTTTTAAAAATAATCCCACATTTTTAATCATTTTTTTTTGGGATTTCATGATAGTTTTCTTGTAATTTTATTTAAAATTTAAATTTTGTAGAGTTTTCTTTAGTATTATTATATTATAGTATATTATCTATCAAGTTTAATAAACGCCATTTTACTAAGAAATTAGAGTGTTAAATAAATGTCTATAAAGGTTTATAAACGAGTTACATACTATACTTTTTCTACTACAAATATTTAATATTATCTAAAAAAATGATTTAAATTAAATATTTGTATAAAGCGACATCTATACAAAAATCGGTGACTAAAAACCTGTTGTTGTTAACTTCAGCCCGTGACTAAAACGCCATAAAGCCACAGCTTGTCAATGTGTTTTTAAGGATAACTTAGTGTCATGAAAACATGTTTAAAAGGTGGTAGTAGAAAAAATTACATACATGTTTTTCATCATATTAACAATGGGTGATTTCACCAAATATTTTGATTTGAGCTCTTAATATTAAGTACCTACTTTCGTATACTAGTCATGATTTTTTTAATTTTGTCGATATTTTGTTGTTAGTTTTTTTATGTAAATAATGTTTTATGAAAATACAAACAGTACCTACTGTTTTTTGGAATTCCCCCAAAAATTCAATAAAAGTGAAAAATGCGGCAATTTCAAATTTGATTTTTTTTTAAAGCTAAGAAATATGTAATTTTAACGATGTGGTAATTTTTTGTTTAAATAAAAATAAATAAAAAAGAAATTGTAAACTTTTTAACTTTTTCAATTAATCGTCAATTTTTTGTCTAAACCTTTTAGTTTAAGTCACAAAAAATAAGATAAAACTGGTTTGAAACTGAGAGAAACTTAAGCTCAATTATGACTATGATAATTACTTTATTATTTAATTTTATTTAAACAAAAAAAACCATAACGTGCAAATTACATATTTTCCGAAAAAGGTATTGTTACTTAAAATAAAGAATGAATATTTGTTTAAAAAAGATTTTTTTACAAAAAAACAGTACCGTTAGTATTTTTATGAAACAGTATTTATATCCAAAAAAAATCAAAGAAAAGTCGTACAAAAAAATAATATTTAGTGGAATGACCCGTATATATATACATATGTGATTCTCGTTTTATTTAATTTTTTAATTTTAGGTAAATACCTATTTTAAAGAGATTTTAAAATTAATATTATTTTTTAAAGATGAATTAATAACCTACTTAATATTATTTAACTTATAAAGCTTTATAAAGTTGTTAAAGGTCATGGATTTAACGCTTAAACAAGTTTTCCCCATACTAAGGGTATTTCCAACCCTTCGAACTTTAGCCCTATTTTGACAGATGGCACCACTACGTTTATAATACCTATACGTGTGTTGAACACTGATGCGATGATACAACAGTAGATTATTTACCTGGGTTTTTCATAGTAAAGTTATAAAATCATAAAATTAATACATTCTACCTATTCAAATATAATTATTATTTAGTTTCTACGTTCGATTTGGGAAATTTTAGCGTAAATTTACTAATTTAGGTAGATGGGAAAAACACAAGTATTTTTAACATTTTTTATTACAGTAAAGATCTTTCTGATATAGTTGCAGTCAGGGACATGAATTTGTTAAGCGTAGTTTTGTAATTACAAGTTTTTAAGAAAATACCATAAATGATTAATGCCAAGTCGCTATTATAGGTAAGTATGTAATAAATATTTTATGCAACAATACACTAAGCTACTGTTTTATGGTGTTTTTGTGATGACTAACTTGTTAATAAAGATATACATCTCCATATTTCCACATAAACCAGCATTTAACTACCTTAAAAAATGGCGAATGCGCCGGTGTTAATTAATACAAGGAAAACAAAAAAACATTTATATTTAATTTAATGACACATTTCATTTGTGCTGCAAATTAAATCAAAGCCCACTACATATTTTTAAGGAGTATATAATAAAGGCAATTGTTTTTAGTATCAGTAATTGAGTGTTAATAAACAAATGAGAGGCGGCATAAAGAGATTGAACTTCCTCGAACAATGTTTATGCAAATAAAAGTTAATGTAAACATTATGATTTCAATAAATCGGTTCTCTTTATTTGTCTATAAGCTACAGATAATAAATTAAAAAAATAATATAAATAAATCAACTATAAAATAAATAAATTATGGATCAATATTTTAACAGCTATTAAAAATCTACCAAAGAAATCACTTAATTTTACAAATACAGGGTGATTTCTTTTTCAATTCTCTATAAACTTCTAATGAATCATTTAGATAAATCACTCTGTTTCTAAATTCTATAGTTTAAACAATTTTTAAATATTTGGGAAAACTAAAAAAATTCAACCTTACTAATAAGAGCAAATGTCAAAGATTTGTTTGCAAACAAGGTCACCGTAACAGTACACTCTTAAAAATAATGGTAAATTTACTAAATGTTCACAAATTTTATTTTAGATAATGGGAATTTTTATATAGTATATACTGAATCAGGATATTTACATAATGTAATTGCATTCGTAGTATTTTTGTTTTAAATTCACTCCACTCCTAAAAAGTTTATGAAAAATATAATACTACTTGTATTTTTGTTGTAAATTTATAGATCAACTTATAAAAATACAATAATTTTACTATAATAATAATATATACAATTGGGCATAACACTTTTAATACACTGTCAAAAATAATTGTAAATTTACTAATTATTTACTACTAAAAAGTAAAGTTAAATTACAAATTTTGGAGAATGACAATTACTATACTGAATCGAAATATTTACATAATGTAATTTTATTCTTAGTATTTTTGTTGTAAATTTACAAGATCTACTTGTGAAAAGTTTAAGTAAAATATAATACTACTAGTATTTTTGATGTAAATTTATAGATCAATTTATAAAATGTTTAGAAAAAATACAATACTTCTACTACAATAATACTTATACAATTGGGCATAAAACTTTATATACACTGTCAAAAATAATTGTAAATTTACTAATTATTTACAATTGAAAAGTAAAGTTTTAGAGAATGACATAATGTAATTTTATTCTTAGTATTTTTGTTGTTGTAGTTCTACTTGTAAAAAGTTTTAAAAAAATATAATACTATTAGTATTTTTGTTGTAAATTTATTGATCAACTGGTAAAAAGTTTAGAAAAAATACAATACTTCTACAGTAATATTACTTATACAATTGGGCATAAAAAAATTTATACTGTTAAAACAAATGGTAAATTTACTAAATGTTTCATATATAAAACTATAGTAATATTACACATTTTATTTTAGAGAATGACAATTACTATTTTGAATCAGGATATTTACATAATGTA